AAAAACATTGTAAGTGGCTGGCTGAGGTTGAGCCTGACCTGCATTCACAGGCCTCATTTCCCAGTCACTGCAGGGGTAGGAGTCCCTGACTCCTCTCTGATGAGACGTTAATGCTCACCAAGGTTTCCCCTGCCCTTCCTGGGTGTCTGGAAGATCACATTTGCTGCCTCTTGAATGAGTTGTGTTCAAGGGGCTTTGAGCAATGATGTGTGAGCAGAAGTGATGGGGGTCACCTCAGGGTGGAGGCATTTGAGGGTCATTGTGCAATTCTGCACACTCTTCCCCCCAAGCCAAGTCACAACCATGAAGAGTTTTTTTTTTTTTTTCAGACGAAGTCTTGCTCTGTCGCTAGGCTGGAGGGCAGTGACGCGATCCCAGCTCACTGCAATCTCCGCCTCCTGGGTTCCAGCAATTCTCCTGCCTCCACTTCCTGAGTAGCTGGAATTACAGGTGCACACCACCATGCTCAGCTAATTTTTGTATTTTTAGCAGAGATGGGGTTTCATCATGTTGGCCAGGATGGTCTCGATCTCTCGACCAAAGAGGCTCTTATGATGATAAATTCTAATGGTGGAGCTAAACGATCAAAGCAGCATGCAATGAGGAGCCAGATCATGGTGGGATCTGAAATGAGTAATGAACATTTGCATCTTAAGCCAACGTGATTTGGAGGTCTTTGTTGTAGCATTCATTACCTAACTGGTCCTGACTGATACAATTAGGCATTGGAGAAACTATATAGTTCTACTTTGTCAATAAAGTCTGTGAACTTGAACATGTCCTTTAATTTCTCTGAGCATAAATTTGTCTTTGCATGTTGCTTAACATTATTGGAGAGAAGAGCATTAGGTAACTCTTAGCAGAAGAGAATTTTTTTTTTTTTTTTAAATACGAAGGGTGTCAGAGACTGGCCAGATGCTCACCAGTACCAGTACTCACTGGTCCCACACTCAAGAAAACTACATTTCCCAGCATGCCTTACAGTTGGGTTGGGACCGTGTGACTGAGTTCTGGCTGATGGATGTGGGCAGAATCATATCCTCGCCTTCTGGGCCAGTCATAAAACATTCCATGTGTGATCTTTCTTGCTTCCTATTCTCTTTGTCATTGGTGAAGTTAAAAGCAAAGAACTCAGTGATGATGGAGCATACAATAACAGGAGTCCAATCCTTGAATCAGCATAGTAGGATAAACCTAGAGGAGTTCTGTCCCTGAAAATCATATACAACGTAGCCTCATCTACTCTAAATAGTACTCTATGTAAGAAATGTGTCAAGCCAGTGGTCCCAGAGTTCAGAGAAGGTAGGATGGGTGGTTCTGTGAGCCACCACCGTAACCTAAGTACCTGACACCTATAACCAATATTCCAAGCTTCTGGCTGTTACTTAATTGATGATGACTGAACTCAACTGAGTGGGTACCAACTTTGAGCAAGCTACTCTAAGATGGAGAATCTTCACAAACCACGTCAAGTTCATTTCTGTGTGCCTGCTGTGCCTTGTGTTTGAGGAGCATCTCTGCTTCTCTGTTCTGTGCCCTGAGGGCTGTGAGACTCTCTGCTCCTGGGGAGGGGTCTTTCCATCATCAACAAGGAGCTGAAACAGCAGGGGGGCTGGGGCCCTCCCTCCTGGCCACCCTATAGCCGCCATCTACATATGCAATCCTCTTTTGCTCCTCCGTGTTGTGTCTGGACACTGTGATTAACAACAATAGTGAATAGCATTGAAATAAAATAATAGTATTAAAATATAAAATTAAAATAACAGTACTAACATTTTTTTTTGAGATGGAGTTTTGCTCTTGCCACCCAAGCTGGAGTGCAATGGCATGGTCTCGGCTCACTGCAAGCTCCGCCTCCCTGGTTCAAGCAATTCTCCTGCCTCAGCCTCCCTAGTAGCTGGGATTACAGGCACCTGCAAGCACGCCAACTAATTTTTGTATTTTTAGTAGAGACAGGGTTTCACCATGTTGGCCAGGCTGGTCTCAAACTCCTGACCTTATGCGATCTGCCCACCTCGGCCTCCCAAAGTGCTGGGATTACAGGTGTGAGCCACAGTGCCAACCATATTAAACAATATTTTAAAGGCCATGGTATTTAATCATGTTCTAGATTTATCCTTAAGTATCCTTGGGTTGGGGGTGATGCCTGTTATGAAGGAAAGTTTAAATACTTTAATTCGGGTTTTGAAATTCAAATTCAAGATATGCTGGATATGTTCCATCTGAGATTTCAACAATCACATGTGTCTAAATTCGAAACCTTTGTTAGTTCCAATATGTCATGCTTTAGTTGAAACAGGATTCTCCTTTTAGCTTAATAGGTGCCGGACATTGTGGTAGGTGCTTTACACAGTGAAACAGATATTGCTAACCCCCAGAAACCTCCTTTCCAAGTGGCATAGTCAGTCTTTGAACTCTGAGTTCAGAGTTTGATTTTAACTATTTTGTACTACTATCTGCTTTTCCATTGTCCTGATTTTACACCCTTCAGAGGGTTGATGAAAACTACCAAGACTAGGGGAGTTACCTCCTTCTACAAACTAATCCCCATCTCCACAGGACAGGAGATGCCAGCATCCAGGGTAAAGCAAGATGCTGAGAGGGAGGGAAGGAATGAAAGGATGGATGAAACAGACAAGCAACCAAAAGTGCTTGAATCCACATTTATTATACTTTTGCTAGAGTAGAACTCAAGAATAATGAAGCATGCCTCTCATCAGGTTTATTGTAGAATAAGTAATTTAGTAAACCCAAAATAAAGCTGCTGAAAGATGACTTTAAAGCCGTTTGTTTCATGGAGCATAAAGGGTGATTTTGGTGCAAGCATTAAAACAGTTACCCTGAAGCAATTATAGATGTAAGTGACCTCAGAGAGACTCAGAGTTAGCAACGGACCTTGCCCAAGAAGCTTGAGGTGGGGAAGGGGCACAGGCTATTCTTTATTTCAACAATGCCTCTTTTGCCCTTTACATAGTAGAGGAGAAAGAAATGCTTCCAGGGCTACTTCTCACAACTGTGGCTGCATTTACATGCTTGCAATTGTGGGCGCTATTAAAGCCGACAATAGAGTGCTACTATGCAGCTGCAGTGTGCGAGAAAGGAGCTCTATGTGGATTTCCTTTGCAGGAAGGATGCTGAGTCAAAGACCTAATAATTGTGACCTCTACCAGGTATTGCCTCCATCTCCGCACCAGTCCTGGACAAAGTGCTTCCCAGGCTTGATTTCATGAGAGCCTCACAACCACCCTCTAGAGTGGTTTCATCTTCCTAAGTGCTTTCAGTTTTCCCCATCCTACAGGTGAGACACGGTAAGGAACTCATCTAAAGGCTCATAGTTAATAAGAGGCAGAGCCAGGATTTGAATCCACACCATTTGGCTCCTGAGCCTGCACATAGAACCACAGCACCGCCCACCCGGAACTGTGCACCAACAGCCTGAGCTGTACAGACCCTAAGCTGCCGCCCCCTCTGGGTTATCCCAGCAGCCTGTCTGACGCCCAGCTTAGCCACCATGTGCCATTTGTATCCCCATGGGAAGATCAGGGTAGCCACCAACAGGGTAGCTCCTGGCAGCAACTCAAGAAAGGTGCAGGAGCTAACAGGCTGTGGCGACCAGCAGGCCCCATGCCATGCCCCTCGGCCCCTGTTTCAGTTGCTGCTGTGTCTGGCACGACTTGCCACGCCGCCAGTGGTGCCACTCCAAGTGCCCTCTGCATCTTTTACTCCTTTTAGCCCCAAGGCTTTCTTCAACGCCCCCAGAGCTCACTCAGCCCAAAAAGACAGCCCTGAAGTGGAGAGAGAGAAGGAGAGGGAGCCCTCCACCAGAAAGGGTTGGGAGTCGTTGACTAGAAGGAAATAGAAGGAAACCCTGAGGCACATCTATAATTTCCTTAGCGGGACCGAGCCCCAGTTAGCCACGGGTCAGGCAGTTCAGCAACATCTGCCCACCATGTGAATTTTTCCATCCCCCTTGTCTCTCCTGACTTCTTTCTCTTGCTTCCTGGAGTTACCTAACAAATAAACTACCCGTGCACAAGTTCTTGTTTTCTGTGGAGGAAACCAAACTCAGGTCTGCAGGCACTCCTGGACAATAGCAGTACTGGCAGAAATAACCAAGTCACTAGAACGGGCTCCGAGTGGCTCCCTGAGTGCCTGCATCCACTCAGACACCTCGATGTCCCCGCTTGCCCCTCTGCTGGATGGCTGTCAGGCTCTCTGGAAGTAGAAGCTTCTTTGGAGTTTGGGGGACAAGATGGGTTCTACAGATGGGCACCTGTTTTCAAAAGGAGAGGACAAAGCAGGATTGGGAGAAAAAGTCCAAATGCAACGCAGGCCCTACCAAGCCAGCAGGGGGCGTCTGGAGCACAAATCACCCTCAGTGTCATCCTGGGTGGGGCCAAAATGGCCAAACGGCTGGGCCTTTATACCCTCTCCTTGCTAGGTAACTGACTGCAAGCTGCCCAAGCAGGGTGAGACCCTGGTAAGATGGCTCTCTGCAAGCTCTTTCCTGAGGGGACCTGGGCGGCACAGCTGTGTGTAGTGCACTGTAGGACAATGCTGTTTGCTGGTGGACGCGTCTGTGCCCTCCTCTCCTGTTGAGGGCGGAGACCGGATGTTTTGTCTTCAACAACTGGAACATCCCCTCGCATGAGTGAACAGCCAACAGGAGTCAAATGATTTAATACCTAGTATTAACAATGGAAAAGTCCGGCTGGGCGCGGCGGCTCGTGCCTGTAATCCCAGCACTTTGGGAGGCTGAAGCTGGTAGATCACAATGTCAGGAGTTCAAGATCAGCCTGACCAAGATGGTGAAACCACATCTCTATCAAAAATACAAAAAATTAGGCGGGTGTGGTGGTGGGCGCCTGTAATCCCAGCTACTCTGGAGGAGGCTAAGGCAGAGAATTGCTCGAACCCGGGAGATGGAGGCTGCAGTGAGCTGAGATCGTGCCACTTTTTTCTTTTTTGACAGTCTCAAAATAATAATAATAATAGCAATAGTAATAATAATGGAAAAGTCCCCATTCTACAAGAAACTTCTACAGGAAGAAAGCTTCATTCTACAGGAAGAAAATATTGGAGCCCAGAGGGATTAAGGAACCTGCCTGAGGTCACACAGCTAGGAAGGGCAATGCAGCATCTAAAGTACTTCTTTGGCCCCCAAGTCCTTAATCCTTCCTCCGCTCTCAGAAACCAACCTGAACCAATAGTATTAAACATGTTCTCATTTTGATTCTCTGCTGGATACCTGCAGTCTGCCAGATTTCCAGCCATATTAAAAACAATAATAAAAAAAAATCCAGACCCATTAATCAGCTCTGTTCCCCAGGGCTTGGAAGGACACAATTTCAATGCTCTGCACCCAGTCAGGAGGGAGGAGGCTGAGCTGTCACCGTGCAACTTTCAAGAACTATAGTGACTGGAGGGAGCCAATCACCACAGTTCTTGAAAGTTGATCCCAAGCTCTGGTTTTTAGAAAGACTATTTAGATCAAGTTCACATGCTCATGCCTCTGGCTTGATGAAATGATCAGCCCATACAATTCCTAAGCAACCCTCCCCACTCTGGGGAGTCACATTCAAAGGCAGGAAGGTCCTTTGGGACAAAACTATCGTAAAGCCAGGGACACCCAAGGAACAAAAAGGGTTACATATTTATCTGCCTGCCGTGCTCCATGGTGGGCTCCAAGAGGCCTGCTCTTGTTCTTGCCAAGACCAGAGGGACGTGCCATGTTACCTTGACCATTTAGAGATGGAAACCACACTGTGATTAGAGACCTGGTCTCTCACAGATTCTGTCCAGCCCCAACCCCAAACACTGACTGATCAAGCCACCAGCTGCCATTCCAGGGGAGTCAGATGACGAGTTCCTAAGTTTGGCCATCTGCAGGATGTAAGAAGAATAGAAGGAAGCTGGGTTTTGGCGGCCTGTGTTTATAATTAGCAGTGTAATGGTTTCAGGGCACTCGCTGAACGGAGCGTGCATATTCCTGCTGCACCACTGTATTGCAACCAGGGCGCCTGATTATTACAGATGTGTGTAGGAGCCAAGCACCCACTCCTATGAGGAAAGCTCCATAGGTGTCCTATTTAAGTCATGCCCATCAGGTTCAGTGGAGTTACCATAACAGGCAGGCAGAAAAGCCCTTAGTCCAAGGCATGAAGGGCCTGGGTGTATTTACAGCACTCCCATCTCAGGTCCCTTGTTATTAATATTTACTCTGCGCCACTGCTTGGACCCCATTTCCCTGAAATATTTCTGAATCAATGAAAAACAAAAAGTTAGAGCACAGCTGGGTTCTTTGACCTACCTGGAAAGCAACTCCCAGGAAAGCCTTCACCGTCTCCCATTCCAGCGTGCAGGAGCCGCTGTGCTGTGCTGGGCAGGACTCTACACACAGGTGCTGAGGAAGATGCGACTGTCAACAAGGCTGCTACCCTCCAAGTGAGGGGGGTCCCCCACCACAGCAAGCCATGGCCCCTCATCTGCCTGGCTGACCCTGTGCCCCTTCTCACTTGTGTGGTCTCTTAGGTGGATTTTGCAGGCAGTGTGGGGTATGGGCTCCACTGGAGGAGCACAGTGGCTGCTGAGAACACCTTTTCAGGAAGCATCCATCTAGATGTGGGGACAGAGGGCATAAGGGTCGCAGGCAAACACGGGCTTGCACACAAACGCAGGTTGCCTTCTCCTTTTATCTGCAAGACACAAGGAAATGATCAGGAAGGTCAGAGGACTCTGGGGTCTCAGGATACTGAGGATGGGCGAGACACAAAAGGAGGGTGTTGAAAGGAACTCAAGCTATTAAAGACCCATCCACTTCCCCTCCCCAGCCAGGTGTCTGAGTCACTCAAGACTCACAACCTGAGGACCTGGCCCGAGTCCATACTCTGCCCTGCTCTCCTCCCTCTCCTCTTCCTCTGCCACAGCTTGCCCCGCCATCCCTCCTTCCCTGGCCTTATTAATGACATGTAAATATCACTCTGAAGACTTTCCTGGTATAATCGGTTACCAGCATATTCTGCAAAGGCTTCAATTAAAATGGAACCAGAGATCAGAGAGGCCTGGGAAGATGGGGAGCTACTGCCAAGTTCTTCTGACTAGGGGAAAGCAGCATTCCCCACCTGTGCCACCCAGAAACGGTGGCTGGCCTGGTGACAGCAGCCAGGGCAGCTTGAGCAGGACACAGTAACCACCCTCAGAAACCCCCCGGCACTGCTGCTGGTGGGAGAGTGTCTGAGAAGAGCAGGAAAGTCATCTGCTTTCAGGAGAAGACGTCATTTTCTCCCAGCTGCCGATGGGAGGGGCGGGGGAGGGACTCACAAAAGCAGGCACAGCCAGATATGGCCAGCGTTTTGAACAAACATCTTATGCCTTGTTTAAATCAGAGACAGTGGCAGATAAAGATGTATTTCATCCAGCTATTTGCTCAGGCTTTAGCCCTAATTCTATCGCCAACAATGTTCATTGTTTAATGTCTTTATATTCAGAAGTTGTTCCCATGCATATCTGCAAGGGAAGAAGCAGAATGCTGATAGCATTTGTGAGCCGTGCTGGCCCGGCAGGTTTCAGGAAGAAGAATGAGATCAACGCTGGAGTGGGAGGGCCCCACTCAGGGACCGGATTCTGTGCAGAGGCCAGACCTCAAGTGACACGGACAGCTCCACGCTGCCTGCCCCTAGGTCCCACAGAGCAGAGATGGAGCAGCTAGGACCACAGAGGCCTCTTCCGGAGCCAAGTCCTGGCAGGGAGGCCAGGTGGAGGAAGAGGAAGGGGCGCGGCTTCCTGTCTGTGTGTGATTCCTCCAAAGTAGGGCCCTGGCCTGGGCAGGAAAAAGATGGCCTTCTCTGATAGGAATGCTATGTAATTGTTTGAAACAATAGATCAGGGTCTTGGTAAAGGCATTATTTGAACTCAAATGTTTTGCCGAGTTATGAAAAAGGTTATTATGTGATCTTGATCCGATTAGGGTGGAATGGAGCTAAATGATGGATGAAGCAATTGCTTTTTTGAAATACCAAAATTACAACAAGGTCCGGCTTAATCTTTGCAGCTATTCACTGAGATTTCTGAAACAGTTCAGGGTAGGGTGCCAATAGTATATTAAGAAGAAAAGAATAAAATATATTTGCAGTGGAACCTTATTGCTACCTATCCAAGACGGGGTGCACTCAGGAGGCCCTTGGGCAGCTGGCCCGGGTGTGAGAGAGAGAAGCATGGCCTGTGGTGAAGCCCAGAGTAGGGCAATGGAGGCAAATGTGGGAGACAGAATGTGGCACTGGACGTGGCCCAGGAATCAGGCCTCTCCTTAAGTCTCCAGACGAGGAAACAGAGGTAAAGCATCTTGCTGCAAGGCTGTCGATACATTGGTGGCACCACCAGTCCCAGGCCCAGTTCTTCTAACTCCTAGTACGGGGATCACAGAGAACTGGGCAGAGCACCGGGGGCTCCTGGAGTAGGGCTCCATTCCCAGGGTGGTGCCAGGTGGGTGAGGCCTAGCTTGGAGACAGAGAGAGAGAGAGGCAGAAACTAAATTAGTGATGAAATTCAAAAGGTGAGATTGGCAATAAAAGAAGATCGAACGCAAGAATACAGGGAGGAAGGAAGGAAGATAGGTGAGGTGAGAGAGAATGCAGAGCTGGAAGACACGTGCCGGCAGCATGAGGGTGGACAGTGGGTTCCTAGGGTGACAGTCACAGGTCCTAAATGCTCTCCCACCATGGTATGGCCACAGTGATGCCACTGTACCCCTTAGAAATTTGAAAGTAAGGCTAGGTGCGGTGGCTCATGCCAGTAATCCCAGCACTTTGGGAGGCTGAGGCGGGTGGATCACCTGAGGTCAGGAGTTTGAGACCAGCCTGGCCAACATGGTAAAACCCCATCTCTATTAAGAATACAAAAATTAGCCAGGCGTGGTGGTGCACACCTGTAATCCCATCTACTAGGGAGGCCAAGGCAGGAGAATCGCTTGAACCTGGGAGGTGGAGGTTGCAGTGAGCAAAGATCGCGCCACTGCACTCCAGCCTGGGTGACAGAGTGTGAGAATCCGTATAAAAAGAAAAAAGAAAAAAGAAAAGAAAGAAATTCTAGAGTGGAACAGCCTCACTTAACTTCCTTTGAAAGTCTTTTAGGAACGTGAAGGAAATCCAGTTATTAAAATAGAAAAAACTGAATTAACATGGCCTGATATACATTGCACACCTCTTTGCAGGGCACAGGCAGGACTCAGACACTCATTTGCATATCTCTGAGGTGGAGAAAGGTTAGGAAGAGCTATAGAGGGTTCCTCTTTCCCCAGGAAAAAAGGTTTGGCCAACAGAAACCAGCTGAATATGTGTGTGTGCACTGCGAACACTCCTGATGGGTAAGTGCTAGTTGAGGTAGGTGTGTGATATCAGTCTCTTACAGAACTTACAGAACTCTAAGGTGAGAGGTCCCAGGCTCACAACCTATGGGTCCAGGCCAGAAAGTAATAAGTAAAATAAGTAAAATAAAGGAGTATTGCATAATGGAGTCTGTATGGATTATCAATTGCTGCATGACAAAATATGCCCATTCTTAAAGGCTGCAAACAGCAGTTGATTATGATGGCTCATGTTTCGTGGGTTGACTGGACTCAAATGGGACCTAGCCCTAGAAATTCCAGAATGTTACTTCCACAACTCATTGATCAAGCAAGTCACTAAAGTCAGCCCAGATTCAAGTGTCTTTGTTTCCTATTATACATTCTTGTACCTGGTCTTTTTTTTTCTTTTTTCTTTTTTTTTTTTTTTTGAGATGGAGTTTCGCTCTGTCGCCCAGGCTGGAGTGCAGTGGCATGATCTCAGCTCACTGCAAACTCCGCCTCCTGGGTTCACACCATTCTCCTGCCTCAGCCTTCCAAGTAGCTGGGACTACAGGCGCCCACTACCACGCCCGGCTAATTTTTGTGTATTTTTAGTAGAGACGGGATTTCACTGTGTTGGCCAGGATGGTCTCGATTTCCTGACCTCGTGATCCACCCGCCTCGACCTCCCAAAGTGCTGGGATTACAGGGGTGAGCCACCGCACCTGGCCGTACCTGGTCTTACTTTTATCTGCCCTATTGAATTCAAACGCCAATTCAGTTTCTCTCTCTCTTTTTCTGTCTCTCTCTCTTTCCTCCTCCACAAACTTGCCCTTACCCACCAGGCACCACCCTAGAAATGGCGTCAGCTTCTAGGACTCTCTGTTGCTCAGCCTACTGTCTTATGAGCACAGTACTGGGAGTAAGAGGTTGTGGGCCTGTGACCTGGTGGCCTCTGAGCAAGACACCTTGCCTCTATTTCCTCCCCGTGAGCCCACTTTGCCTCTGTTTCCCGCCTGTCACTGAGGGGCAGCTGGTCACATCACAACAGAGCATATGGAGTGAGAGGCATCTTTGGAAACACAGTCCACTATGGTGCCTTAAATAGTATTCTTTCCAAATGAACCCACTTTGCTTTGCATATTAATTGCATAGATACAGCCTTTAAAATCATAACTATACTCTCTCCATTTTATTTCAAAACATGCAACCTTTCCAGGTCCATTTTTTTATTTTCCTGTTTTTGATAGAGACATAGTACAATAAATATTCCACTTTCCTTTTTACACATCTATGAGAAAAGTGACAAAGCAAACGTGATGACAAATGGCAACTGATGTACAGGGAGGTTCCGGGGCACGCTAGGGACTGCGGTGCAGTGGAGTGTGTGTGCCCGTCTAACAGAGGCGGCTGCCTCTCGCTGCAGCTGATTATTGTCACGTGAGAAAGACTGTTGATTATATGGCCTACAATTTACTTTAAAACACTTCAGCATATTCAGTGTGATACATATGTGGATATAATTTAATTTTAATCTACTCCCTAGATGCAGTTAACATTTGAAGTACTCTTCAAATTAGAAATCCATACTCCAGGGATGGTTAGTTATCATTTGAAAGACCCTAATCAGAAGTCTGCATTCCAGATGCAAACGCTTCAAACATTGCTATCTGAATCTGCCATAAATGGTTCATCAATAATCCTAAGAAGGGAGGCTATACTCCTGGTACCTCTGGTTAACACCTGCCATGCACAGTAGGTGTACCCACCCTGTCTTCAGGTGAGTGCTGCCACTTAATCACTGCAACTCCAGGCTCCCATCAGCCCCACTGAAATCAGGAGACCATTGGAATGGCCAAATCTTCTACAGTCAAACCTGGCCTACCACAGAGAGCAACCACAGAGTTTCCACAAATTCAGGTTGTATTAGTCCATTTTCACACTGCTGATAAAGACATACCCAAGACTGGGTAATTTACAAAGAAAAAGAGGTTAAATGGACTCATAGTCCCATGTAGCTGGGGAGACCTCACAATCATGGTGGAAGGTGAAAGGCACGTCTTACATGGCAGCAGACAAGAGAGAAATGAGAATCAAGCCAAAGGGGCTTGGTTATAAGCTTATATAACTTGTAAGTTTTATAAGGTTGTAACCTTATAAAACTATCAGACCTCGTGAGAGTTAGTCACTACCACAAGAACAGTATAGGGGAAACCGCCCCCATGATTCAATTAACTCCCACTGGGTCCCTCCCACAACACATGGGAATTAATGGAAGCTACAATTCTAGATGAGATTTGGGTGGAGACATAGCACAGGTGCTCCCCTCATTAATGTATTTCTCAATGCCTTAGTAAAGAAAGGGTCTACAGGGTTGGGCACAGTGGCTCACATCTGTAATCCCAGCATTTTGGGAGGCTGAGGTGGGTGGATCTCCTGAAGTCAGGAGTTCGAGACCAGTCTGGCCAACATGGCGAAACCCCATTTCTACTAAAAATACAAAAATTAACCAGGCATGGTGGTATACCTAGAATCACAGCTACTCGGGAGGCTGAGGCAGGAGAATTGCTTGAACCCTGGAGGTGGAGATTGCGGTGAGCCACGACTGCACCACTCCACTCCTGCACTCCAGCCTGGGTGACAGAGTAAGACTCTGTCTCATTCCTATCTCCCTAAATCCTTCGATTCTCTCCTCTACATTGTGCCAGGGAAACTCAGGCATCTCAGCATCATTAAATGTAGGCCACTGTGGAGTCCCAGTTTTAGTCAAGCAAACAAGTAAACTGTTAGAGCCACCTCCAATGGCACAAGCTCACATACAATATCCAAAATCTGTAGTAAATGCTGATCCATTAATTTGGTCCGATCTACTGTTTTCTTCCTCCACCCCCAGGCTGGCACCCCTAGAAACCACTCCCACAAATGCTTCTCAGGTTTCTAAGTATATACATCAGTGAAGGCTTGCATTACTTTTAGTGTGTAACTTATTTCTTTCTGGGCCATAAGGTGTACCTGGACCCCTGAGATTGAGGCTAGTTTTGGGTCTAGAGGGATCCTGGGGTGGTTACGGAGGGTCATGAAGATAATAGTCATCTGTTTTCAAAGTATCTGCCCCAGGTGATGTTACCACAGAGTTTTCAAGCAAACAAGCCTAGGTTCCCTAGACACTGGAGGGCAAGCCACTTCTACTGGCAATTGAGACTAGGATGTTAGTTTCATCTGACAATCCATCCAACCAGATGTTCCCTTTCTGTTTCAGGAGCCTATTTCCCCCATCAATGCCCTGGTTTCTACATAAGAAACTTCGAAAGACTGTGAGTTCAACTGTTGTAATTGGGCAACCTACACAAATTAAATTTTGTGTTTAATTTTCAGCAATGTGAGCACTACGGCAAAAAGAAACACGGGATTATTCTAGGGCTGGCGTGGAAGCTTTCCGTTTTTAGACCCAGGCTTGGGCTAA